GTTTGCATCATATTTGCTGCTTATGTCGTCCCGTATATGATACACGAATTTATTATTATTATTATTCAAAATGATTTTGCACGTAATTATGAAGTAACACCTAGTACGGTTGCCAGATGGACATAAAGAGATGACTGAATGAACACTTAATCTTCAAGCATTATTGTCTTACAATAATAATGTTTATAAAAGTGTTATACTGGATATAAATTTCTATTCTTTAATGTCTCGACTACTGGAATCGACAACTTTCAATGTTTTAATAACCATAATTTTTATAAACACGATTTCACGCATATGATTTCTACATATTCCGTCACCTGGTTTTGAGAAATTGTCCGTTTAAATACGGATGAAGGTACGCATAAAGTTCAGTTAAATTCGCTCAATAGGTAGTATTGAAGCTAAATTACTTTTACAATGAAGCTTCAAACTATGACTTTTCTCTTCATCTTGCACATCAATATTTTTGGTTCAAAACTAAAACAGTATTGCTTTCTAAATTCATTTAGTAATGCTTGTTTGAATCTTCCCATTGATGTGTTAGGACTGCAACTGTTCAGTCTCTAATTGACATTTGTGCATACTGTGCGTATTGCCTCGATATAGCCTTAATTCCAGTGAAAATCAAGTCTGAGATGCAGGTACATCCAGCTAACGAGTCCCGAATAGAACGAAACGCGCGTCCCGGATTCTACTGCTAGCCACTATCCATCTCTGCTTAGTATTGCTTTCTTCCTAAGAAATTAGAAGTTAACCAATATAACTTATCAGTCAGAGGTGGTAATGATTATATATATCAAAGTATGGTAAACTTGGCCCAAACTTTAACTCAATGGTAGCAGAGAGTATTAATACCATAAGCTATATATATATGCCTTTTGAACCAATTTTTATTCAACAATTGTTCGTCTCATTCGACTTTTATATGCTTCTGGAATTAAGAAGGATCGTTTCGTAGGACCTGTGTAATAGTGAATTTCAGTTCATGTTTTTAAATCACTATAGACTTTCAGTCAAATGTACTTATACCGATTTCTATATGTTTTATTAAAGAATACAACCTTGAACTGATTGATTTTAATTAATGTATAGATGAATAAGAATTCTAGGTTAGATCAAACGATAGTATTCTGTTTGATTTTTGTTTTAAAACTGGGCAAATAAAATTCTCAATTTACTCCAATAAAAAGAAAGGTTGATTTCGAAATTCCTTTTATCATTCAAATGTTTCGATGAGCCACAACCAGAATAACTCTGATCTGAATTATAATTGTACTTTATAATAGAATATACCAGAAAATTTAATTTTTCTTTGAAATATATCTCTTCAGATTGTTAGCAGACAGAACTTGTAATAATATTTTCGCTACAGGTTGAGTTAATCAGTGAAGAAATGCCAACATTTATGAGATCATTTTATTATATTACATAAATCAGGATTTCATTGTTACAAGCAGAAGAAAACAGCACTAATGGACCCAGAGTCTTCTAAATAAATCACAAATGTACTCTAAGAATTTCAACCCACTGCACGACTGTTAATACACTGTGTAAAACAGAACTATTGTAAACACCGATTATTTGAATAAAAATGTCTAGTATTGAATAAAGCATCTATTTTTTCTTTGGTTGAAATTCAGTTATTGAATATTTCTTATAGTTCGATCTCTTAATAAATTTGAATATATCAAGAATGATATTTGAAGTAGGGTAGTATGAATTCACAATTCTCTTAAGCTGCTAACAGAGCCTTTGCACTGATACATGATATTGTAACCGACATTATTGACCGTGAATAAATGAGATGAGAAAGATTATCAGTTTTTTGTTTAAATATTATTATTGAACGGGAAAGTATATCCTGATCTCCTTCATGACAATCTCACATTAACTGACTATTATTGAAATTCTGATAAACTGAATGAGCAATTTTCTTTACTTCAAATCTACATACTTCACCAAACATCTTTGGCCCACAGATTTATTGCCTCCTTGATTTCACAAAAAGTAAAGTAATCATATATTTGGAAGGGTTTTTCTGAATATAAAAGTAATTTTAATAGTTGAGATCATGAGTCGATTGAAGCTAGATCACCATGTTTGCTAGATTATTAGGATTGGATTTATTTAAAGTAAATTATGTCAATTTAAAATTTCTTCCCTGAAGGTTTTGATCAACTGTTAATGCAAATAACGACAATTTTATGACAGTAAGTTACCTGTGGATAATTTAAACAGTTTAGAGCAGTGTGAGCTGTAAGATGTGATAAAACCAGGATCAAAGGCTCACAACAAATTAACTTTCTTCCACTCAGTGAAGGTGGGAGAATGTTTAGCCTCAGTTTTGAGTTTCAGTAGTTTGTCATGGGATGACTAGTCAGGTAGCTGATTAGTGATCTGTATTATTGCTGGCTAATGTACTTCAGATGATCAGTTAATTTTCATAACACCGAAATGAAAATAAGGGACTGAACGGTCAGAAAAATGTTCAAACGTTATTTAAAGACAAACAAAACTGGCGGAACATAATTTCGGATTCTTTCTTATGTATCTGAACAATTATTATTATTATTGTTATTATTATTAGTAGTAGTAGTAGTAGTAGTAATAGTAGCTTTATTCAATATTATATATATTTAAATTTCCTATGATTAACATGTTTTTCAAAATGACAAATATTAATGAAGTATATCTACAATTTTATTTGCCCAATTAGTACCAAGATGTTAATTAATTTCCTTAGAGTCTGTACAACTAACTTTATGCCTTTTGTAATGCTAAATGATCACGAAAAGCCTTCAATAAACAATCATCTGATTATACTTTACTTCACAGATTAAGTTGACCTAGAAAACCACTGAAAATATGTCAGTACTGAGCACCTGTTCGATCTCCGACTGAGGAATCTCGTACTAGCGCAATATATCTAGTTAATGCTTTCTGTTTTCCAAAAGTTCACTGATTAAAGTCAATATATCATTAGAACTATACAACGCAAAATCATCACCAACTTCCCAAAAATTACCATCTCAGTCTGTTCTAGCCAGGTCTTGTATGCATATACGAAATTACATGTAAGAATCTGTAATGGGTTCTCAGTATGAAATATGTAATCAACTTTATCTCCACTGTTCTCAAATTTGATGTGTATAGCATTTTCCAGTAAGAATGAAAGTGAATAAACATTTAGGGTATGAAATAAGCCGGTCATATTTAGTAGAAATGAAGTTCATTTCGTTCTATTTCATCATATAAAATGTTTCTAATACCCCGTTACTCTTCATGCATGAACCACTCAGAAAATGATTGATCCCAAAATAGAGTGTTTTCCAGTTTTATCTATCTCAACATAGAAATTTTCTTTACTCATCCGAAAATATATTGACACATATATCATTACAGTATATAGCTTAATTTGTTTTTTTCCACCTAATGTCTTATATTTATTTTCTTGAATGGTATTAAAAATACCTTAAACAATAGTAGTCGATAAATGTGATTTCCGTGTGTGTGTGTGTTTAACGTTCGTTAGTCAATAATTTTGAAGATCTTTGAAAATGATGCGAAATATTCATAAACATCCGTACGTCAATTGAGAAAACCATTATCAGCTGAGCATATATATATATATATATATATATATATATATATATATATATATATATATATTCACAGTTCATATTGCTTTTCAACTATACTTATCTTGTATAAAAGTAACATATGCTTAATAACAGTAAACCAGATTGCCAGTTGAATCTTGACGACCGACTGGCCACCAACTAAACCACCGTTCTTAGAGATTCCTGTTCGAAACCCTCCATTTTGCATATTTTTATTTATTGTAATTGTCTGACGTAATGCGTTCCACACATAAACATAGATAAATACGTATTATGAAATCTAGTTTAGAAATTCATCATCAAACTACATTATCCCCAGAGCATGACGGTTAATTATCTAAGTTTTCTAGTAACATAGTACCTGGTTTGATGATTTGTTGTCTACCAACTAGTCAATAAGCTCTTAAAAGAAGCGCTACGAATCATATGAAAATTTTTAAACTGTATATTTTCATTTGAAAACTTCATTCGTGTCTAAATAGTTTAATATTACAAAAATAAACCATACCATAGCAACTATTAATTGATGAGTATCATCTTTAGTCAACAAATTACTGTAGACTTTTGAAAGTCACATAGCTGAGTAGAAACTAATTCACGATTTCGAGCTTTCAACATAGTTTAATGTAAAGTTCCTGTGAGGAAACAAAATTATAAATTCCAACAAGCACAAATTTAGTGTGTAATCTGTGATTATAATAGCTTATTGATAGTTCCTGAAAAAAAGAAATAGAGAGCATCCATTTATATCACAGAAGATTCTCTTAAAAGTTGATATCTTGAGATTCCCCAGAGGCCCATTTCTTCTAGCTACTCGAAAAAGTAAACCTCTTAAGAAAAATGAATCCTATATAGGCCAAAAAAGATAGATGTAATATCCGATTTGATTAATTTTATAGACAGATTTACTGATGTAGATTAGTTAACGAAATTATCACACTAAATTAATACAAACGAATATTATTACTGAAGTCATAGAAAATTAATATAACGTATGAACGAATGTCATACTGCATCAATGCATCGTCCAATGCATGATTCCTTACTAAAAAATTTTATTTACTGATTTAACACACCCAACAATTATGAAAGCCGAAGGCATAAATCAATGAATAGGATCTACTAGCGCAAACTTGAAAACACTGTCCATTACTATTCACCGAAAATTGTTTGTAATTATTTTTTTATCCTCTTTTATTGAGAACAGAAATAATTCTATGAATTCATTTGGCTATATGCTGCAAGCTACAGATTAAAACTAAGTGGTAATAAGATAATTTTGTCCACTAAAATTTGGCAGTATCTCTAACGGAGCCGATCACTTCATAACAGAATATCAAATTTCTGGCTACTAATTGGATTTCTTTTTTCTTTTAGGAGCGATTGCAAAATACAATAGTATCAAAAATTCAAGTTTCACAGATTGGAATCCGTACCGTCAGCGGGGATAATGAAAATACGTTGAACACAGTAAAACGAGAAGATTAACAAACGTTGGAATTTTATGACGGCCACACTAAAGTGAACCTACGAAAACTGACATAAAGCATAAAACAATTAGAATGAGGAAAACCATAGTATCTCACTATATAACGAGTCATTATTAAAAGATGAACATTTATCTCATATTATCATTTCTGTTTAGTATTTACTTCATTAACTAATAGCAGTGACCATTTTATTTTACCTCTTTAAATTAATTTACGTTTCAACATTAATCTAATTATTATCTCTTGATGTATTTGGTTTATTCATATATTTGTTTATGTATAACATGTTAATTCAATAGATTCAATAGATTTTAAATAAAATAGTAGAAATCTATGTTTAATATATACATAATTTCCAGTGTATAATTAAGAAGTATTCACCATTAAGTCAATCATTATAAGGATGGCTGATGGTGAGTAGTGGAATCCAGGACGCGCGTTCCGTCCTATTTGGGACTCATCAGCTGGATACACCTGTTGGATTGATTCATCGATCAAGTTAAGTGGTTAAAAAATATAATTTAAACAAACGTATTTTTGACAACTATTCATGAAAGTCTACAGCTCCAACTAAACATATTTATTTTGAACTAGTTTCTTCCATAGAATCGAATGAATTCACACGAAGTTAGATATATTGTTACTTATATCCTTTGAATTGCTATTACAATTATTCTCCACCTTTTTATATTTCAAATACTAAATAGTGAATCCAAAGAACTGAGTATTTTGAGCTACATTAATCGACTGAAAATAACAAAACATTAGTTACATAAAAGCAACATCTCATATATAGACAGCTATATCACCTCAAAATAGAATAATACGCTTATTTACTTGAATTTTATGCTAAATTTTTGTTAATAAAGTTTAGCTTATACAACTGTAACAGTTCACTGGTACATAGTTGATAAGAGAACATCAGTCAAACGAAGTAGTGACATGTTTAATAGGAAATTGATTATATTTACAGGTATACTTTATACGTATTTGCAAAATACTAAATATTTTCGTAATATATTTGATTTCAAACGAATGTGAAGCATTTTACAAACTTCGGTTGAATGGAAGCCTGCTTCGGTTTTGGCACCCGGACGGTATTCCAGTTCTGATACTAGTCGGATGATTTGTGTGAAGCATATGTATTTGATGTCTCTTTGTACCAATGTATATGTGTTTAAATAATAATAATTAATGCCGGCTTTTTCTGTGAAAGTTACTCATATATGGAACCAATATCTAAATTCAGTTTTCAACATAAAACAGTTGTTGGGAACCGTTAAGAGACTACAATAACCTCTTTGAAATTTAAATATTCGTTTCTTGTGAAATAATGAGTATTGATAAAAAATGCTCATGAACAGCTTCACTGTTATAAGCAAGTCCCAAATCAATTTTGCTCATACTCTTTATGAAAAACGTATGATGAGATTTTTCATTCCAAATTACTAATCATACAAGTATTACCACCACGATGAATTATACCTAAAGTTTTAAAAATACGTAGTTCCAATAGTATCCTTTAGAGACTGAAGTGATGTAATTGAAATACGGACTAAAAACAGTAGCACGCATTTTACTGTATTAAAGCACTGAACTTGATCGTAAAAAAAGGTGAGTTAGAAATACAAAATCCTTAACTAGCACAAAAGTCACTTCATAACTGTTGCCATAAGTAGCACGTTAACTGATGTTTAGCCCTTATAAACAAACACTGAAACCAACACACCTGGAAATGCACTAGAAAGTACTTAGCATGTATTAAAATTATACAAGTCGATAATGAAATGTTGTGACTAAAAAAATCATATATATAGTTTGTTTATGTGTGATTTGTCAAAAATCTCTTTTGATTTTTATAAATGGTACATATGAAAAGATCTAGAAATATAAAATCGTAATCGACTTTTTAGAAATAATGCAATATGAAAGTAGTATTATTTTATATGCATTTATACATAAAGAATAAATTGTTTCAAATAAAGAAAGAGAATATTTTTGGAAGAAATTTGTTATTCATAATATTTAGCACCTCCTCCGTCCTCATCTCCACCACCTAGACCATCATCACTAAAATCTTTTTCACCATTGTCAAAATATTCTTGACAATAATCATTATCGAATTCATCATCATCAAGTTCATCAAGTTCATCAACTTGATTAGCATCACCATTCCACCGAGCATCTTCTGAATCTGCATCTTCATTTTCACTATTATTTACATCGATTTTCTCTACATCTTCTACAATCATGACAAAAACCGAAATAATTTAAATAAGTAAAATTGAATAATTACATTTTAGAAGATTAATACATATTACTGAATTGTTTAAAAGCAGTTATCATACACTATTGCCCGATAATAATATTTATAAGCGTTTTTGGTGAAATCATTATTTTTGTCACATATCATTCAGTAATCTAATCCAAGCACTTTTTGGGGGTTTCTAACCTGTCTACTGTTGCCTGACAATTTAAATCTATGAACGATTATCGTACAAATACGTTATAATTACGCTGACCAATCGCTGAGTAGTGTCATAGCTTAGTAGTCAAAGCACTAGTATTTCAACCGGTACATAGTCACCAGTCACTCAGTCAGCTACAACGTAGAACAAGGAAAATATATGCATCGGGCCAAGTTGCCATACCTCATTAGTACAACAAGGTGAACACCAAATTCATAGAAGTAATTACTTCAATAGTAGCAATATAAAAGAAAGATTGTGTATAAGGATATAATACAAGAAGAAAGAATCAGCTCGTAGAAAGAAAGGTATAAAGTAGTTTTGATCTCATAGTTTAAGGGAAGACAAAGATGATATACACATACACCACTGTGATCGATTCTGAGCCATATCATCCAGAGTCTCCAACCATTGGTTACGATAGTCGCGCAGACCCCAACCAAGTAGTCTGCATCTACCAACATGGCTCAGACTAGAAGTTAGTGACTTCAAGGACTGATGTCACGTTTTGGTTTGGTCGCCCCTAACTTTCTTCCAACCATCTCCTACACTAGTCAGCATTGAGCATCGTGGTAATCGATGTTCAGGCATACGAAAGACGTGGCCCAACCATCTCAGTCTATGAAGGTTTAAAGACCTCATCAACTGATTTACCGCTCCATCTACTTCGGCTTGAGCAGCCAGATAGTATGCTAACCCCCAAACAACTAAAGTACAACTCAAAGCTAAGTATATGAAATCAGAACTTGAGACATGAGCAAGTAAAAAAATAACTATAGAATGAAAAATTGTCTCATACTAACAAAGGTCGTTATGAGTCGCAAATTAAGGAATGATCTATCACCTAATGTCCTTAGCATTTGAAATTAAATGTCCCAAGTCATTGCACTACTACAGACTATCTATATATATAGCCATCTAACAGAGAAATAATCTCACGTAGTGTACTGGGTGGTAACAGATAAGAGTAAGTGACCTCTGCAATTCAGTTAACTAAGAAGAGGTACCTTTTAACCGAAACATCAAAAAATAATGAGAATCTGGTTTATCGGACGTGGAATTATAGAGAAAATGATGGTTTTATAGTTGAAGATGGTGAACAGTTTACAATCAGAAAAATCCATAGATGTGTTATAAACGGTATCTAAAAAATAAATTGCCGGAAATAGTCTGATTCCTTCAAAACTGCCTACAATGCAAACTACTTTGTTGTTTCTGGCAATTTCGAATCAATTTGTGCACTGAAATTCCTCACGATTTCTACTCTTTGTAGTCACAGGGACGACTACATCTAAGAATTATCGATCCGTATAAATTACCTGATATTTCTTCAGTTATCGATGTCTTATGTCTGCGAAGAAATCGCCTTAAAGGTGATTTGAGCGACGTATTCTAACAAATGTAAATGAAAATGATAGTTGCAAGCTACTTCGGAACATTGGAAAGAGTGAAATACATCCTTAATGCTCTTTGATAAAGTCTCTTTATCAGAAATCAGAAGTGACTATAAAGAATAAATATAAGAGGCTACGGCTAAACCCTAGAAACTGATAAAGAATGAATTTTTCACATTTCACTTTTGGTACTACATAGTCATTCTGAACATACTAAGATTAGGATCAAAATAATTTCAAAAGTTATTTTTGCCACCCATTTAAACTTCTGGAATATAGTGAATGTCGAATTTGAAGCATACGATAAATAAACCTAATCGAAAAATGTGTAACTAATCGGTTTTACCAATAACTTTTCATTTTACATAAACAAAAATATAACGTACCGTCATTTTCTGGGAGAGTTTCAGTAACTTGTTGGATGAAACTGTCAGTTATAACTTCATCAATATCGCTGTAATACTGCCTACTACGCTGAGAAGCCAATTTTGATTTTCGCGTGGCACGCCTATTACTTTTAAAATTGATTCGGGTTCGAGAAATAAGTTCTTTGGGATAGCTAAAGATGAACAGAGTCAAAGAACGACATATGCATGATAAAAGTAAGCGAGATACTAATGTTTATATTTCATCATTTATATACAGTTTTGATTATTTTCGAGAAATTTTAGAGTAATAATGGAATAGAGTACCACAAGGTGTATTATTATTAAGACCGTATGGGAACAAAACAACAAACCAAATTGAACAGTAATAGGGTTTCACCCAATATTTCCAGATTATAATGAATTGATCATATTTAGTTTTTGTTCAGCTAAATACAAAATAATGACCTTAGTTGGTTCGAAATACTAATCTAACTATGAAATTCGGCTACAAAACAGTTTACTTCTGTTACCAAGTCAGTTGAGTATTAACAATAGACTATTTTTGGATAAAAAGGTCAGTATCTTCCCAAGAACCTATGTTTCCTAGTATAAAAGTCTTTGTAATTTTGTGGTACATCACTCGCTAGACATGAAACACAAGCTAAATGTAATGAGTATACTTAAAGTAGTCGATAAACAATGTAGCTCTGCCTTACCTAGATTTGTGGAAACCATAGAAATCAGTAGGCTTGAAGCTACCTTAGTAACAGAAGTTAAACAGTGTGACAACTAAGGTTTTTAACGTTATCTTTCATTTTTCAATTAATTACAATCATAATTCGATTATTTTGACTCAAAATAAAATTTTCCTTCAAAAATTCTCATGTGTTTGTTATTGCGTAATAAAATTAACCTAGTAATACTCTAAGACTGTCGACTTCAAATATTTATGAAAACTGCTAAACCTTTAATTTTTAAATTTACTGAACTTTAAACAACTTACTCTTCAACTAAAAGATAATTGATTTTCTAAATTTCCAACTATGCCAATATTTCGAAAAACTAAACTTATTAATTTGTATCAAGTTGGACAGAAAGCAACGAATTTATCGTATTCTGTAAATATTGTCATCTTTATGTTGTTTAAAATAACAGGTTTTTTATTCAGTTACTTAATAGCCAAAGAAATTGTAACTTTTTTAATTGACTTAAACAATACGTTTTTCTCATATATTTATTACTAGATGAATAAACAAAAGCCTAGGTTTTGAAAAAGTGTCGTTACTGATATTTTCATTTGGAATATTCGAGATATATGTTAAATAACTCATTAGTTTCTTGTAGACAGTTCAGCAATGATGTTTCTCACATTTGGGTTGTATTCAAAACATCATTTTAGGAAAAAATTAAGTAGCTGAGATCACTTTTCTCCAATCAATCAAGACCTGATTGTTAGGTCTAGTTCTTGGGCATAGTATCAACTGTTTACACTGTTCAAATCGAAACAAATAACTTGGAAAAATTGATAACATCATGAACTCGTTGAACAATTTGTAGATAAGTCCCAAAGTGAACAGAGTACTTCAATGTTGTTCATAAAAGAGCAGCTTTACACTGAACTACAATCTTAAAAGTTATTGGAATGTAAATTCAATCCTAAAAACTCATATCAAACCAATGGGGAATTCCACATACAGTTAACTGACAATTTCTATACAACTAAGGTTATGTCACATCTAAGTATTTAACGTACAAAGCATAATGCAGTATCATTAATCGACAAAATCTGAATAAACTACTATACTTACACTTTCAACTGACCAAACTTAATTAACAAAATTTTGTTCGGAACTATAAACTTGGTAACTTTCAAAGGTCAATCAACTGTTGATGATAACTAAGCTACTCCTAAGTAAGAGAGAATAACTGATAAAATTTCATATATGTACCGTCGAAATTCAAACACAAAGATAATATCTGAATTACAAAGTGAATACAACAACTTTATGAATTTTAGAAAGAACACAGCTCTAAATAAAGTGGAACATTTTAATCATTGGTTACTAAATCAGTATGGATAATATGATTTACTGTGATGTTTAAATAAATCAATGACTTCTTAGTATTGATGACTGTTGTAATTTTGAATTCCAAATACAATACATTCGTTCGAGTTCATCTGATACTTCTTGATTAAATTGCGTTATTCCTGGGATTACTAGTTCATACTACAATTCAAATACTTCTAATTATCATATTTACTCAGTATTAATTATCACAGTACAATTTCGAATTTGCATTTCCTTCAAGCCAGTGCCAAAGTTACTAAATCCCAGTAAATGCAGACTCAAACCTAACACTGTGCTACAAAGCTATAACAAAAACTTATCCTCAAAAAATATCACTTATTGCTATTGGTATTTGGAATTTTCAGTTGTCAATTTGAGGGTATAAGGACTTTGTAAAAATAACCAACCAAAGTTTTCAGTGTAATTGAAGTTAGGTTTTGTAAGTAGAAAACTTACAAATCATCAGGTTCTTTTATGTTCATGTCTTCATCAGACCACTGGTTAATTTCATGAGAGACCAAAAGATGTAAAAGAGATACCATATTTTGTGATTTTTTTCTGAGATTTAAGCTGTTACTGGATAATAAAGAAGATACATCGACTCCTTCTGATAGCTCCGGAACTGAGTGATAAAATGGACCAGAACGAAATGCAGCTTCCATTTTGGCCGTTAACTCAAACTAAAATAACAGGATAAAAAACATTTTATCTAACACTTTCCGTATATTTTAAAATGCATTATCAAATTTGTTACTGTAGACTTCAATCACAAAATATGTCTATAATCCGGTCCCACTATAACTAAATTAATGTACTTACACGAGTAAACATGTGTACATTTCTACGGAAGGTTCACTATTTCTTAGTCACAACTAGCTATGTTGCCTAAAGTCTCACCAATACATAAACTTTTGAGTATAGTTACCTGTAAAACAGACGTTAGAGAATTCTAGCGATTGAAAGCCACTTATTCTTTAACTTTTAATCTCGATTTTAGGTAGAATAATTACGTAGCTAATTAGCACAAAAAGTCTTCAGCCAACAAGGAGTTTCAGGGTTTTTTTGAAGACTTGTAATGTGATCGAAATACGTCTTGGATTTGTAACTGAATTTATAAGAAACTATGATACAAAAGTAATGAAAGTCTAATCATAAATTATTATTTAAAAGTATATATATATATATATATATATATATATTGCCAACATCCACAACTACTGATTAGACTAGTTAAGACAGCCGTTTGGTAGACTCTTGTGTACAAAAGAGATGAACGGATTCGAATACTATCAGTGGTTCAGGAGAGCTTTGAGAATCAACACTATACGGAGTGATTTGAAAGAGTAAAATGTTAACTGGATTACTTAGTAATGGAAATCGAAATTACTAACATGAGACGTAGATATAACGGTAGTCTTAATGGCAAAAGAAAGATTATTCGAAAATAGTGAGCTCGAGAAACAAGGGGTGCGGAGTAATATTACGACCTAAGATCTCGAGAAGGATAAAGAACGTATGTATATGCCACACTGCAACAGATTTAAAGCCATGCTATTCAAGACTCAAATAATATGTTGATCACTTAATGGACGGATGCCAAGCCAGGATGGATCAATTCATCTCACTTAGGTAACAAATCATTTGAAATGCTGTTAAATGTTCCCCAAGGAGTGTTTTATGAATTAAAAGGGACTGTCACATAATTTAATTAATTCTCAACAAACAGCGACGACCTTTACATCGCGATGACTTGTTTGCCGCAGTGACACATTCGAGCTATATTAATCAGTGTTCGTTTCCCAACGTCCTATCGTCTGAAAAATTCTAACCAAGCACCAATTGGACTAAAAGCAGATAAGAACTTACTGCATATAAAAAGCGTGAGATCTAATAAATCTAAAATCGATTAAACATATCGAAATATCATACGGGTACCTCTATGCGACTACTATGGATTTCAAGCAGTTTTCTCTTTTGGTGGATGTTAGCATTCTCATTTAGTCTGTCCCCTGAACTCAATAAGCTACTGATGACAGCTTCACAAGCTATTTGTAACTTTTCCATCCATTTTAATTCTGAATACCGAGTTTCTCTCCTACATCAAATTCAGTTTTTCACTGATATACAGGGATGTCTCATAAAAGATATCCAAGCCTTATACATCTCTGTTGAAAAGTCATTGGTCACCAACCAATTACAATGGATCCAATCGAATGGGTACAATGAGAAGTTACCTAAATCAACCGATTCACGCTATGATCCTAAACTATATAGTGGCGATCATCAGGAGATAAAAAGCTAGATTTTCAATTATCCAGCATCTAACCAATTTGACTGTCTAAACAGATCAATGCTTTTAGATCTATGACAAACATGCAACACACTCGAGCACAATTTTCTGACAGTTTGCACACATGAACCGCCAAGGATGGTTGCCCTGAAATATGAACTAAGATATTCATAAAACTAATAGATAGTTTTCTTCGTGCTGCATGACACTTGATCTAAAAATGACAGACTAAACCGGTATCGACATCTGAATATGAAGTAGTAATTTGAAGACGGCTTAATTCCCCATACGTATGTTTAAGGGCTAATCAAGCAAAGAGTAATACGTGCAGTCTTAGCAATAATAATAAAAACGGAAAATAAATCCCTTATGGTGTTACCGGTCTTTCCAATGTTTCTATCAACGACATTAAGCATTCTAGCATTAAAACATAGGCAGTTCCCAGGTCATGACATAGCTATCATATAACACTAATGAAAGGAAGGTTGTTAATCAGCTTTGACTACTAACCGTAATCATGCGGAGTGGTAAGGGAACTGTTATTTGCTACCACAACTGATAACTATCTCTTCATGAATAACAGAGTTGTTAGCACAGATTTTTTTAATGTTTGTACGGAGTATACAACCATATCACAGTGAGACTAGGAACCGAAGATGAGTAATTCACATATCGAGAACAAACTACTTCATGGATCGGACGAGAACCGGTGCTTTCAACGTGGTATGGTCGCCGGCATATATATCTGGTGCCCCCTTGTACCAATATTTATGTGTTTAGATAAATAAACTACGCGAATGACAGGATACATTTTGATACATGAACATAAATATTACATTCGACAAACTGGAGTCTTTACAACTACATCTAAGAAAATGTAAACTAAGTGACCTAGCAATTTTATACATACCAAATTTATCTGCAAACTATCAATATCATCTTTTACTACGTCTGGATTGTTGTTAGCGCTGGAATCGCTTAAAGACGAGTTAATAGTAACCTTAGGGACGGAGAAAGGTATCAAACGGCTGACCTCGAACTTAGGATCAGGCTTGGTAGGAACAGAATGAGGATCAAATAAACGACGCTTCACGCCATCACGAAGACCCGATAAACTTGGACCACCACCACGACGTCGACCTCGATTCATGCTGAAAAACATATAAGGCGAACTAACAACAACTAATAACACGGAAAATTTTTCAGAACATAACTTATTGAAGGCATTATTTACAGAATTAGATACAAAACATTTGAAGTTCATATATGCACATCAGAGGCTTTATTAACCAAAGCCTGTGCTCGAGCAGCTCGTTCTTTCTGAAGTTCTTTACGCCTGCGCTTCTTTTCCAATCTTGCTTGATGAATTTGAATGAGGTCTGAATCGCCATCTACAGTACTATACGTAAGCTTTGGATTATCTGAGAGTTTGGAGAAGCGCTGGTCGGCTGAGGCTTCGTTGAACTCTGCAATTATATTTTCAGAACGCGATGAAGCTTTAGGTACGTTGTCAGAATATTCAGGCTTGGCAGTTTGGGTAAGAGATTTCTGATTAATCCCCAGATGGTCTTGTATTTTGTTGTACAGATTTGCAGAAATGAAATATCCGTGCATGTAAGCTCTCAGAAACTGAGTTCCGATGAGCTCTGACATTCCCAAATCTGTTAGCTGTTGACGGGTGATGAATTTATAACCATCATACATGGTTGTAACATCTGGTTCGCATTCGACCACAAGGCTGTCCAAATAACTGCACCAGAAAGGTGCTTCTCCAAGCAGCGGAATGAAGTAGGTAGAGATCTTAGGAGACTCGGATGCGAACATGAGTAATCCACTGTTAGGAAAGTGATACATAGAATTACATTCAGAAGGACCAATATTGAAACCAACAAATATTTTGCCAGTATCCACTGACCATATTTTACAGCAGTAGCGCATGGCTGTTAACACTTTGTCATCATGGAAATGAATGGATTTGATAGGTTCCCTGTATTCCGTGTCCCGGACGTGCCACGGCTTACGATTTTGACGAAGGTCATATATGTATACCATTCCGTCTCCCGTGCCCACTGCGACGTTGAGAGAGTCTTTAAATGACATGCAAGTTACGGCAGTTGATCGACACTTATTCTGGATATCTTCTGGTGCAGGCGCAAACTCACATACGTTTAGACCAAATACATGCTCAGAAGTTCTAGTATCCCAACCATCAACACACCCTATTGTCGACGCACCAAATAACAAACCGTAATTTCTTTCAAAGCTACATACAGTTAATCCATGATTAGAATTCTCTAGACGTTGGGAGACTAGAGACGTTTTGAAGCGACCTTCGGACAAATCCATTCGGTATATATGGTTGCGTGATGAGGCAACAAAAAGATCACACGTGTAAGGACAGTAATCTAAATCTACACCTTGTTTCGGAACTCTAAACTTGAAATGGTGTCCCCCAGCAGCATGAACTTCAACCCATCTTTCTTCCTCCAGTAAGGCAAACTTGGAGTAGTTGTCACTAAGGCACACAATTTTATATGGCATACAGTCCAGACATCGATCAAACTTCATGGAAAGATTCGAAAGTTCGTAACATTTGACTCTAGGTTTATAACGTCCTAGAGCGAACAAGTACTGACCATCTGGCGAACAAGTCAAATAAGTGGTTGAATCGGGCATTTCTAATTCTTGAATAAGCTCAATACGCCGACTTAATTCCACGTCTGACTTTCTTTTACGCTTTTCAGACTTCGAAGCCCATTCTGGAAGGGAACGATTCGCCGTTAGATTGTAAACTTTCACGCCATTTATTTTAACAACATTCATGACCTCGACCAGTTACGACTTACATATAATGACCGCCTTGAAATGTTTAAAGCTAGGTGTTAGTTTAAGCTCGTAAGATCAAAGATAGGTGGATATTTGTCGCTTTTCAATTAAAATGTTTTTCGGATGAGTAGTCTTAAATACTGGTATTGTGTTTCAATGACTTTGTTTTAGATTCTGATCGACGCCTCAATAAAGTCTGACCCAATACTCGGTGATACCTCCCTAAACATAACAAACGCAGCACCTATAAGCTCGATGACTTCTTCTCACTCATCTACGATCTATAGAGTAGTAAAAGAGCGTTCTGATTGGGAACCCCTGAACATAAGGATAATTTAAGATAAACATTCAGCTTTAATGCTTTGTTACCTCTATTCTTACTTCGACCAATGAAGAAGAAATGTCCCACATTTCATTTCGTACGCCACATTGGCCAGCAAAAAACCAAATGCGAAATGTAACTGGGATGAAATGTATCATCCATCCCTATAATAGCTACCAGCAACGTAAGCGTTTGGAAATGATCACCAAACTTTTGATATCTAGTTGTATTGTTCAAAAGGACAAGAATATATGGGAAAACGAATAAAGGCAAGCACAAGTATTCATGAATGTACCAAAATAAAAGTTCAACATTAATTGTGTGTAAATACATTCAAAACAGTGAAGTCAAACTAGATATACAACGGTTAAATAAATGTTGCAGGTCGTACCAGTTCACGTAACTGCTTACATCAACCTGTTGTATCTAACTACGGCATACCAGTTAGTTTGAATGTGTTGATTACGCCCCAAATGTGTAAGTCCCTATAGCTTTCTGAAACTTCAATTTTCTGGGTAGAAATACAAAACTCCTCGTCTTTCAAGATCTAGATCTGGGTGGCAAAATGGTTTCAGATGGTTCTAGACGGAGTAAAAGGAGCTTTCGCTTAACGAGCTTCCGCATCTGGTAGCACTGGAACACTGATGCATCCGGCTAAGATTCTAGTTATATTTAACGACAGATGATAGAATGAAATTCGAAGAATTGTATCAAGACACTGTCCTTAGTCCTTAGGGCCCCCAAATGCCCTGGTACGGCCGAGAGTGGGGAGAGTCTACTCTCTCTCTCGAAATGCTCTCACATGGCCAGCGAATATATAGCCTCTGCCAGGGAAGTCCTACTCACTGCCTTCTCGTGGCGGGGGTGTTGTTTACGAAAGTGAGAGGACGAAAAGCGAATGTCCGGCGCTATAACCGGATTGGTGGACACGGAGGGTCCACCTAGGGGAGTTGGAAAACCCTGATTCCAAACCAATGGTGCACATGGGCTCCAGTATCCTGATGGAACGAATGGTCATACTAAAAGCAAAACAATTAACATTATTATTATTATTACCTTTATTATTATTATTATTATTATTATTACTTACCATATCGCTAATTCACCCCCTTTTATCCCCAATTTGTGTAACCTTACTCTTCAACTTATGCAGCAGCTCGCCCATGGTGGAAAATCTGTCCTATCTAAACGATCTCCAGTCACTGTCTGGTTGAAAGTGAATGCTTCCACCGATAATGAATACTGAAGCAGTTTTTTCTGAAACCACGTACGCCGTTCAAGCTGGCTTCCTTCAACGTTCGCAGACTAATGCATATCAGACAACAGATTGGACTGGCTATGTCTTTGGAAGGTCTTAATGTTGATGTTTGTTGTCTATCCGAGACCCGTATTCAAGACTCTAGTGAAGTACTACAAATCCGCTCTCCATCTGTCGCCTCGAAAAGCTTGTTTCACGTGCGCTTATCCGGGGCCCCTGTGGCATCTTCGTCTGGTCTTGCTGGCGTTGGTGTCGCACTAAGCGCTAGGGCTGAGGCAGCACTAATCGATTGGATCCCCATTAACAGTCGGTTATGTGCTGTTAGATTAGAAAGTTCCATCAAAGTGAGAAGAAATCGGCGTGAGAAACGGTGTCTTTTCGTCATCTCCGCCTATGCCCCGACAGATTGCAGCTCGGATGCAATCAAGGATGAGTTTTACCATCAGTTAACAGTTCTTCTCCAGAAAGCGCGTTCGACAGATATTGTAGTACTAGCCGGAGACTTGAATGCACAGGTCGGGCGTCTAGGCACAGAAGAGAGTCGTTTAGGTGGCCGATGGGGACTTGTTGGTCGCAGGACAGATAACGGGGACCGTTTGCTGCAACTGTGCACAGACCACAACCTGTTTCTGGCCAGCACTAACTTCCGGCACAGTCATCGCCGGTGTGCCACCTGGCGTCCTCCCTCTGCATCCCAAGCCTGGACTCAGATTGATCACATCGCGATCAGCTACCGCTGGCGTGGTTGTGTACAAGACTGCCGCTCCTTTTGGAGTACCTATCTGGAGTCTGATCATGCTCTGGTCTGCGCCAATCTCACCTTACTTTTCAGTGGCCGAAGGATTGACCACCACCAACGGATTGATATTAGTAAACTGGCTGCAACTTCTGTTGCAAGTAAGTATCGAGCGGAGCTAGCCTCTAGGCTAGCTACCACTCCACCGAAAAGTATAGGTAAGCATTGGTTGCATCTTCATGACGCCATGAAAATGGCGAGTAAAGCCGCTTGCGGCTTCGCGAAACGTCCCGCTTACAAGCACTGGATTTCTTCGGGCTCCTTACAACTGATGGAAGCCCGTCGGTCTACTCCGGGTGACCGTGAGTTTGACCACAAACGAAGGCTGTTACGTAATGAAATCGGGCAAAGCTTGTGTAAGGACCGGGAAGCCTGGTGGTCGGAGCGTGCTAATGAGATGGAAGCAGCAGCTGCATCTGGTAACTGCCGGAAGCTCTTTCAACTCATCCGAGCCACTGGCAGCAAGAAGTCTGGTGTGAGTGAAACAATCTACGAGGATGACGGGATGCCAATCACTAACATCTGTCGACGTCTTGGACGATGGGCGGAATTTTTCGAAGGGCAGTTCAACTGGCCTGCTGCTCCGGCAACATCAACCAGCTTGTCCTGCTCCCCATGGCCGGTGACGACTGATCCACCAAACGAGGCGGAAGTCCGCAAGGAACTCCAACTCTTGAAACGTTACAAATCACCGGGTCCAGATGACTTACCTCCGGCTCTTTTTAAAGATGGTGGTGACCTGACTAAGGAATTGACTGTGTTGTTTGGAAAGGTTTGGGAGCAAGAAAGTGTTCCAACATTTTGGAATGAGTCAATAGTCGTCCCTATCTTTAAAAAGGGTTCACGTTGTTCCTGTAGCAACTATCGGGGGATAAGTCTACTTTCGATCGCGTCCAAACTATTGGCTTCTATCATTCTTCGTAGGTTGTTTAAAACCCGAGAACGATT